CTGGCATGTAGTAGGTGCTTAATAAATGCTTCCTTCCTTTCTTTCTTAATTGTCTCACCAATTCCTAGCCTTAAGTTCTATCAACTTTGTTTATCAAGCCTTCCCCTAGCAGAGTTGTCCTTTTACCCTCTTTTTTCAGTGGATACAGCACAATAAAGCCTGTCTCTGGAATCAAAGTACTTCTATTCAGATCCTGCCTCTAATGATCCATGTGACCTTGGGTGCCCTTGACCTCCCTAGGCCATAGTTTCCTCATCTGTAAAATAAGTGGGTGAGACCAGATGGCCTGTCCCATACAGTTCCAGGGCAATGATCTTAGGGTCTTCTTCTGCTACTTCTGCTGCCTGGTCTTCCAGTGGAAACATTCTATTTCTCATTGATTCTCCTTTATTGGACACATCCATTCAGTCTTTTTTACTTAAATTTTTCCATAACCATCTCCATGCTGCTGAATTTTATTATTTTTTGTCATGTTCTTTTTTTAAAACTGATGTTTCAGTCCTGTCTTTATAGACGTAAAGTTTTTCTTTATAGGTACCCATTCTTCCTTCATTACGCTTATTGAGTAATTACACATATTATCCAACTTAATGCATTCTATGATAGTTTCAGTTTTATTTCTGGAGCCAGAGTGGATGTTAATTCATTCCCCCCCCCCATCTCTTCAGATTATTTTAATCCACAATATTTTAACACTTTAATCCTTTCTTGTGTTTCTGCTGTTTGGGATATTTGGAAGTTGAATATTCTGCTCAGATCTTTTGCTTTTTGGGGGGATAGGTGGAGGAAGGATGTTTTAATGCCTTTTTTTGTTGAATGGCCATCTCTTTTTTCATTAATGATTAGATTCAGTTTATAGAGTATCTCATTTTGAAGCTTGAGCTCCTTTGCTTTTTGGAATTTGCTGTTCCATTATTTTTTGTGCTTTCTAATGAATGTGAAATAATCCAGTACTAATCAAATTTCCTTTAATTTATGTAGGAAGGTCTTTTTCTTGTCCCTTAGAAGAATTTGTTGTTTATCACTGGAAATATTAATATATAATCATTGTAAATCATGGAGTTTGAAGTACACACACACATTTTTCTGGAGGCAATTACTGTACTTTTTCACTGATGTTTTCTGTATTCAGAAGTTGTATTCAGATGTATCTCTCTCTCTCTCTCCCCACCCCATTATATTTTTCAAGTTTTGTGATTTGTTGAGTTTTTCTGGGATATTCTAAAGTTGTCATTGCACAGCTTATCTTTGAGGTCAATGGCTTTAATTTGTATATAGATTGTGTGTTCTTTAAACATTATTGACTTTTGCTTTTCTTCTGTTGAATTTCCCTCCATTTGAGTATTTTTGTATTCCAAATTGGTTAAGCTCTCTTTTGCTTCTTTGGAGAATTACTTCACTGTGGATTAATTTTTTTCTAGTTGGCTAATTTTTTATTACTGCATTAAGAGCTGTAATTTATCATATATAATATATATATATATATATATATATATATATATATATATTCATTCATCCCTAATCTCTTTTCTTATAGATTTCATTTCTCTTTTGTACCATTCTGGAATTTCTCATTGGTTTATGCCCTCTTGGAATTCCACAGTATTCTATTCCATCAAATATTAGTTCTTTTTCCTTTGCTTTATAATATTTGTAAAGGGAGCTTTGTAATCTCTTCCAGGGTTCAGTACTCATCCTTCCATTTAGTTTTAGGATCCTCATAGTTGATTTATCTCCCTGTGGTCTGGGTTTTTGCTGAGTTTTCTTCCTTTTTGGTGTTTCAATCTTTTTTTTCCCCTTATATTTCTCCACCATTCACTTTTTTACTGCCTCCCTTTAGCTGGTGGGCACATCCCTCAAATTCAGCTGCAAAGCTGCCTCAATCTCCTCCCACATCGAGGGATTTAGATTTTTCTTGTTTTGGTCCTTAGGAGGACTTTTCTGGGGTGGGGTGTCCTATGGGACTGGCTCTGCCTAGGTTTCAGTTTCTTTTCCTTCAGACCTGATGTAGTCATGCTGGCTTCCTACCCTACTTCTTATCTTGGCTCTTCTTTCTTTCTCTGGGTAGGGTGAATCAGCATCTGCCCCTTTGTACAGGTTTGGGGAAAGATGTTCCAGATAGACTCTCTGTAGCTTTCAGAGTACCTTAATGTAGGGACCACTGCAGGAAAAAGGCAGCATCTTTCCTTTGTTGTTATGTGACTAGGCAGAATCATTGTCTGTTACTTGTTGCTGAGGAAGGGGGGTGAGGAGGTTGGGGTGAGGGATGGATTGTGGAGCCCAGTGCCTGTGAGGAGTGTTGGCAAAATCTCTGCAGCAGAGATGCTAATGTGAGTCTTAGGAACAAGCCCACAAGTCAGTTTGTGCGTTATTGCTAGGAGCATAGAGACTGGAGGAGGAGGAGGGCTGAGGGAAAGCTTCAAGAATTATTGTTCTCTGGGGGCAGCTAGGTGGCATAGTGGCTAGAGCATTGGCCCTGGATTCAGGAGGACCTGAATTCAAATATGGCCTTAGACGCATTACACTTACTAGCTGTGTGACCCTGGGCAAGTCACTTAACCCCACTGCCTAATCAAAAATAAAAAAAAAGATGGTGATGTGAAAACAAAAAATATCAATGACCACATTAAAAAATATTTTAAAAAAAGAATTATTGTTCTCTGGCATTAATTTAGAAGGAGTTTACCTTGCTGGGATTCTCTTTTTTTGCCCTGTGTATGCAGCTACAATTACTCTCTATTTAGTATAATAATTCTTCTCTTTAGGGGTAGCAAGGTAGTGCAGTATATATAGCACTGGGTTGTGAATCAGGAAGACTCCTTCTCATGAGTTCAAATCCAGCATTAGACACTTACTAGCTGTGTGACCCTGGGCAGGTCACTCAGTCATGTTTGCCTCAGAAGCACCTTCTTTTTAGATGTTTTTGAGAGTTTGAGGAGATTGGGTAAAATACCTAATCTGCCATCTTATTGGTCACATTATCTAGAAGTCCAACTCTACTGATTTGTTACCAGGGGGGTGCTTTAGCTTTTGAGGGTGAGGTTTATGGGTGGTAGTTATACAGTTAAAAACTAAGAAGAAAAGCACTTCAGTTAAAATTTAAATATATACCTGAGAGCAGAAGGAAATTCAAAAATGGACAGATAAAAGGGCACTGTTATACTATCATTTTAAATTTAATATATAGGTTTGGAAGCACACACAATAGAGATTTATTATTTTATATACAAACCTCATTTTTGTTCTTTTTTGTATATGAGAAATGTCCATGATTGTCAAAGTTGGTAAGCATATAATAATAAAATCATTTTCTAAAAGAAGTGGAAAGGACAAATTTAAAGTGTCAGAGTTCTTCCCTGGACCCCAAAAAACTCAGTGAAAAGTGCTGACACGAACAGGAGGTATACTGTCCAGCTACTGTGAGAAGGTAAAGAACTATTAACTTCCCATCAACTGACCTGTAATGGGAAACAGAGACCTGCTGAGAAGTTCAAGAATTAGGTATTAATGACTGTAGGATGACTGTAGTCATCCTCAGAAGCCCTTGGTGTGGAAGATGAAATGTGAGACTTACTGAGATGTGAAACGACAGAAGGTCGGAGGCACTCTGGCTCTGAGAGGCATGCAAGGCTTAGACAAGTCACCCAAATGCCAGGGCAATAACCCTCCAGACAAAGCGCTCAAGAGCTCGAACTCAGCAAGGCGCAACCACCACAATTGGTGAGAAAAGAACCCCACACAAAAGGCAGCAAAATAAATCTGGGGTGAGGAGGACCTGTGATATTAGGGGCGGGCAACAGTGACAGCAACAAGGTGTCACGCATCTGGCTGCAAGGGAGGACAGTGACAAGGGAGATCCACATGAGGGGAAGAGACTGGAAAAGAGTGGCTGGTGAAGAAGGGAGACTGATGGGGAAGACCAAATCCCAATCTCCTCCTTCCTGCACTCACCCCTGCCCCTCCCCCCACACCCAGGGAATGATTGCAAGTCATAGGGACTGCACAGTTCCCTGGGAGAATTCTTACACAGTTAGGGTCTTTTCCGAGCATAGGTTTTGATGTGAATTGCTTCTATATTCTTTACACTTTAAATACATTTGTTCTATGTTTTGAAGGTTTATGAACCTGAATATCTGAAAGAGGAAGGTGCTGATGGCTATATTTGTTGTAATGTCAGATACTAAGTTTCCCAGCTCCTGTCTGAGTGGGGATAACATGCTAGAGACATGAGAGAGTCCCAAATGTTACCTTCATATCAGGTGGGACCTCTGACACAAGTGTTATAATTGGGCTTTTCTTACAAATAGCCCACTTCCTTTTCTCATGACACCTTTAATGTAAAATACAATATTCTGCCGCTTCTTATACTCAAATCATTGTTAGTAACATACTGCGATCTCATTACACCTACTATGCCCTTTAGAGATGCTATGTTTCATGACGCACTGCCTTATATCATCATATGAAGAATTTTGGTGTCAGAAAAAATGGGCCTTTGTGTCGGGGAGTAGCTTGGGAATCACTGAAAGTACCACAACATTTCCCCAATGCAAACTCTATCCTTCCTCTTCAATTCTGGGTCATCTAATTGTCTATCTGTAATGCCTAGCTAAGATATACAGTGTCCCAGTGAAGTTCTGAGCTTTAATAACTTCAGAAGTACAAATGATACAAACTTACAGAAACAATATTTCAAAGGTTAATTACTTAAATTTTAAACTATGTTTCTTGTTAAAATTCAACATAACTCACCATCTTGTGTTATACCTCAATCCGGTTGCTTTTCAAACTTTATAAACACTTTCATTAGCTGCTACTCAGTGACAGAAAGGATTGCATTTGTAATCACAGCCTAGATAATACAAAGAGTGAGGTTTTGATGAATACACGACAGAATTGATGTGACCCCCCACATGACTGAAGTTCTCCTGATCCACTGCTCTGAGAAAATATCATCCAGAAACTGTTGCACATGCAATATAATGACAGGGTACTTTGTCTTGTTAAAATTAAAATTTATTATTCACAATTCACAAACAAAATAGGCATAAATTTAATGATTAAATTTAGCATTGTAGCAGTATACTTATGAAAGCTTAAAACCATACTAGGAATTTTAGGACACCCTGAATATCTTAACGGAATAATAGCCCAAAGATTTGACCATCCAAGTGCATAGGCATTCTCCATTTATTTTTGTTACAATAAATTTTTTGAATTCCAACAATTTGGAATTTGCTAATATAAGCTGAAGTGAAAAGCTAAACTCAAATTATATAGATTGTATGTTGCATATATGTATAAATGCTTAATCATATTATTTTTCTAATATGTTAAAGAACCATAGGCTAAGACAAGGAATAATTATTACTTAGCAGTTGCCTCTTTGCCATGGCACACATAAATAGTTTCAGTAATTATGAGATAGTATACTTTTAAATTTGTGTGTGTGTGTGTGTGTGTGAGCACTCTTCTCCCTTGCACAACAGCTTAGTTATAGATTTTATTCTTAAAAATTAAGAGAAATGCCATAAAAATTTACTCACTGAAAATATCTGACTTGTTAGTAAAAGCCCCAGCAGAAAAAGTCTTGTTTTTAAGATCTATTATTTTGTGACACTTACATATAAAAAAGAAAGCACCACAAAAATATGGTAGTGATTCAACCCTATAAAGAAAAATATATGACCAGTGATTGTGAATACTTATTAAATTCTTCTTCAATAGAAAAATCTATGAATGCTAAGAAAACATTTTATTAAAAAATGTGAAATTTGGGAGAAACTGCTCCTATTTTAATGTACATTGCTAGCATTACTTCCTGTACATTTTAACTGAAATCCTCTTAGTATGCAAAGTAAATAGATTATGATATACTGAAGGATTAGGGCTCCCTGTCTGGTGTCAGATTAATCCCTCATATAGACCATCACTTGAACTGACAGAAATATGGCTTCAGTTCAGCAAAAGGGCTCTGTAAGCTAAGTAATACATTTCATTGTTTTGAGCAGAACAAATGGGATGTTTCTTGATTGATTGCTGCATTGAAATTCCAAATTAAATACAAATCTATCTTTCATAAACACTTACTTTCCTCAGATTGTCACACAGAGTCATGAAAATGACATCTATCATATACATAGCCTAGATGGGGGAAATATTACTGTTAAATGTATGGTTTGATCTTACTTTATTAATGTTAACTAGTTGATTGAAGAGAAACCTCTTTTTGTCTCTTGTCTTAAAAGCATTTGCATGATTTTGTGTATTGCTCTTTGCCAGTCAAGGACTGATATACTAATTGTTAATATTTAACAAAGTGTTTCACATAATAGGAGAGATGATATTGTCAGAAAGCCTCTCAATTGTGAATAAATGACTGATTAAAATATAGAGGCATATTCTTTTTCATCAAAAATCTTTTAAAGGAAATACTTTAACTATACCATTCTGTGAAAATAATTCACTGGCAAACATAAAATTACATTGTTAGAATACTATGATTTGGTTTTCAATACAAATTCTTTACCTACAAGATAAAAATTACATATATACATACATATATGTGTATACATATTTAGAGTCTATGCACTCGTAATAATAGTGGGAGAATAAGAAAATACATGTTTTCTTTTCTTTGAATAATTCAGGACAGAAGCACAGTATTGAATGAAGCAGATTACCACCATTGCTGTTCATTTTACATTAGCAGTTAGAAGTGCAAGATTAAATCTGGATTTCCAATGGAATGATGTTAAAGAGGCTGCACATCTTTTTAAAAAGGGAAAAATAGTGGTTATTCAACTGAGATTATATTTCTAGATTACAAAAATGGAGAGCATTCTTGGAGAAATACTCCTGCTTTTGAAAGTCAGCTTTTTCATGAAGGTATTTGAAGTCAAGATCTACTCCACTGAAATTGCAATAGAATGATTTTTAGACTCTTAAAGGAGCAAAGTAATATTTGGATCCAAATGAAGAGTTTCTAAAAACGAACACACGAAGAACAGTATATATAGCATTTCTTTAGTGAAATGTGTTTGGAGTAAAACATTATGCAGAAAAATATTGTGATACTGTGTAGTTTCTTTTCTTTAAATGTTGAGACTCAAAGCAAAAATAGAGGAGGATGCATAAAAACACATTTCTGGAAGTGACTGAAGAGAAATGTATTATCTGGCACTTTGCCAAGAAGAAAACTTTAGATCTAGTATTTCAGATATGCTCTCAATATTTCATTCTAGTAATTGGCATTCCAGTTAGAGCTAACTAGAATCAACATGAAAGCTATTCAGGACCTGAGTATTTCCACAAGCAATTGGAGAAGGGCCAAGAGGAGGTCATCCCTAGTAAGACATTTGGAGAGGGGGTTGATTGTACCATTGCTGAAGGAGAAGCCACAGGCGTATTTATACCAAGGGCCCATAGATGCTATTGAGTCTGCAGGACTCTGCTTGTGACTCCTCTCACCTTAGTGATAAACTGGCCCCTTGGGCATCTCTCTGGGCCCTGGTTGAGCAAGAACATCAATCAGGACTTAACTCTTAGTCAATCAGGTCTGATTAATTGATGTCCTCATTCTTCCAACATGTTGTAAAACAAGGCATTCACCAGACAATCAAAATCTCAAAGCAAATAGTTATATCCTCACCACTGCCAATACTTGGTTCTTTCAAAATTTGGATCGATTTTGACCTGTAGAACTGAGGGATGAGTGAGGCAGTAGTCACCTAAGAAAAGAATTGGTCACCTGTCAAATTTTATGTAGATAATGCAATGTGAGATTAAACCATACAGTCAATGAGTAGCATAATGTGTTTAGTTGGTCCACAGTTAAAATACATTTATTTGCTGTTTTACATTTCATTTTTTATATTAATAAATATGAAATGATACGTGGCCATTTGCTTTATACCCCACATGAGATTTGAATGTATTCTTCGGGTGACTAGATCAATATTCAGTGGGGACAACTTGAAACTCAATAATAGCTTTAGTGATGGCTTTAAGGATGTACTCTCTCTGGCCTTTCCATCTGTGTGGTCCTTTTCACACACATCACAGGGATAGTACCCATGGGGTTTAGAAGTAGCAGCTAACCTAGAAGTGAACAGCCATTTGATGAGGATACTGTGAGGGGTATGTAGGAGTGATGGTTGGTGATTGTTATGTGGGGGAAACCTACTGAAAAATGGGACTGTGTGTATATGCCATGTATGTTCTTATTTGGGTACATCAAGGAATAAAGTTATAAAGTCATCAAGGAAAGGTTGCTTTTTCTTTGTCACACCAAACCAAAGTGAACCATTCTCAGAGAACCACCATCTCCAATCTCCTGAAACAAAAAGAGAAAAAAAAAATCACACTCTGGAAGATGGAATAAACTGATTATTGATTTTATAGTGGCTAGATAGCTAATAATTTAAAATATAGCGGGGAAAAAGTACTTTAAATTATTTGTAATATAAAGACCCATCTTACTGGTAAATTTTAATTCACTGTCTCCTCCCTACTGGGAACTACCAAAGTAATTTGCTTTGTTCATCCCTTTTCATATTCTACATCATATTATATTTATTTGTACATCTATATACATATCGACATCTACATACATAGACACATATATAACACATATGCACATGTACACACACACACATACATATATATCCTTGACTTTCCCTTTCTCTGGATGGTCAGCTCGGTGAGGATAAGAAACAGACCTAGTTTACTTTGTATATCCATAGGGTCTAGCATAGTGACTTAGAAACAACAGGTATTTTATCAATGTCTATTGAATTTAATTTGAATTATTAAAATCAGAGAAGGAAGGTAGAATACACTTACTATATGAAATACAAGAAAGTCAAAGTTAGAAAAGACCAATTTTAAGTTGAAATTTAAAAATCTATGATATAGAAATTTGCCACAAAGAAAAGGTAAAAAAATCTACTAAAATAAAACACTGTTACAATAACGAGAGCGTCTTATTTTTGCTTAATTTTAGTGAATTATTTCACAAATTTTAGCAAATTAAAATTAATTTTAACTGAGAATGTTGTCATGTCCCTCGAAGTATTATGATCTAGAATATTACAAAAGTAGGCCTGAAAGTAAAGACGCAAAAGTGTTTTGACAGGGAATATTTTGGGTGTAAGTCCTATATGGAACTGCAAAGATAGACTCATCATGATTTTCTGCCCCTGCTGGTTTATGACAAACTTCTTTCCTCACTCACCTTTTTTCCATTTCCCCATCCTGTGGAGGAGAGTCAGGCTCATTGAAGAGACAGAAATCTAAGACATTATTGAATGAGACATTGAAAGAGACAGGAAACCAGCTAAATGGAGAGTGAAGGTGTCCGTGTGTTATTTGAGAAAGCAAACTACCTTGCTACACCTTAAGAAAGAGTTAAAATGGTAAAGGTGAAAGGTAAGGATGATTGCAACACACGGTGGCATATATGGCATAGGAATTAACATTGATATTTCTCTTAAATTATAGGTTAATCTGAATATAATTGAACTTTGTTAACTAGTCACCTCTCATTTGAGATATTTCCTAAGTTATCTCTTGACTTCTTCTAAGTGATTTCCAGAAAGTCATTGCCTTTGAACTACATGCAAACAGCCACACCCCAAAGAAAATGTAGCCGTGGAAAGTAAGGGAAATGAATGTAGGTGTGTGTGTATATTGCTTATACACAGAACAAAAAAAACACCCTGGAAAAACAAGTAAGAAGAAGAATGAGTAATTTAATACTGCCTGGGGCTTGTGTGTGTGCTGGCAAGTTCAGTGGAGTTTGGGTAGCTTTTGGTTTAATAAAAAAAAAAAGAAGAAGAAGAAGAAGAAGAAAACCCCCAACAACCCACAAAAACCATTGTAAGTACTAACATTTCCCCAAAGCACCAACTCCATCTCTTGGCCTGCGAACTAGGTTAAAATGTACTTTGCATGATCTTACAGTAGTTATGAGAAGCTGTAGATCCTGTTAAGTTTTAACTCTATTATCACTGCTTTGTTGAATTATAGTAGTGACAGTTGCTTAATTTGCCCAAGGTTGCTGAGATTGATTACTTTTGGATGCCCAGACTTTCCATACCCTTTGATTCCATGATTAAATCATTCTCTTGAATTACTATATTCTTTGCTGCTAGTCACACAAATCCTTCTCTGGACCCTATTTTTAAATAAAGAGGGACCATAGAAATATATAGTCAGATGAAAAGACATCAACCCCAATCCCCCTTTTAGGATTTCTTCCAAACCATTTGAGTTAGATGAGGATTAATCCTATTTTTAAAGACTTAAAGAGAAAGAGATTCTACAACTTTTCACAGTATCCTGTTCCAGTGTAAGCACCCTGGCTGTACCTTATTTCCCTCAGAGGATGTACTAAAGATTAATGAGATAATAGCAGTAGGAGCTTAGAGACTGCCAGAGTTAGGTGGAACTTTAGAGACCACCTTGGCCTAATCTCTTAATTTAAGAAGCTGAGGCCTAGACAGGCTAGTTGAGTTGCAGAGCTGGGATCTGAAGTCACATCTCCTCTTGACTCCAAGCTGAATATTTTCACCTGGACACCATCGGGCACATAGGTATGCATTTCCAAATGTTGAGAGTATCGGTACTAGTACTGGGTGGCGATCTCAGAGAGTATCCTCAAGATAAAAAACTAGCCTTTAAAAGATGCTAAGAAAAACGAAACATCTGTGACTATATAGGCATATGTGAGCCAGGATTAAGGAATTTGTGTATGCATGTATTGGTTTTGGCCACGCTCATTTTATCTTTCTTGCCTACTTTGGTAGGTGATTTTATTTAGAAAGTAGGAAGTTGTGGCTGTGAAGGAGATTGATCTTCATTTCATTAAGTGCTAAAAAGTGTGCTCACCTTTGATTGAAAGAGGCTGCATGTTAATTCCTGTAGTAATTTACAGAAGCAACAAAAGGGTTTTCCCCAATCCCTCATCTGGTTTCTACATTCATCTCAGTGCATTTTCTGAACCACACCCTTATTGCATTACGTAATGTTGGGTGATACCAGGTCACCTTTCCTTGTGATTTTTTTAAAAAGTGTATCCTAACTGTCGTAAGCAAATTCTACAGACAAGTCAAGGTCTGCTTTTAATTTGAATTAGAATTACTACTTAGTTAATGTGTAAAAGCTAGCATTTGTCTACATTTTACAGTTAAAAAGTACTTTATATGAATTATCCAATTTGATTTTCACAATGGTTCTGTGAAATATGTAGTAGTGTGACCCTCATTTTACAGCTAGCCTTTTTAAGCCTTAGTTTTTAAAAGTAATTTGCCTAAATTGAAACAACTAATCATTGGACTAATTCAGGCCTTTTGACTCTTTAGCCTGATAATCTTTCTACTATTAACAATTTTAGATGATAATTTCCTTTGTTATTTCAAATGATTATCTCAACATCAATCAATCAACCAGCATTTAAGAAGTGCTTGCTATGTGCAAGCACTCTGCTAGGGGCCAGGGATACCAAAACAAAGAATGAAAGCGTTCCTTCTTTCAAGAAGTTTACATTCCAGTGGGCAGTATCATAAATCAGATTTCCTTTTTTTGTAGCTTTATGGATGTTTTTCCATTGAAGTATAAATATGGCTAATAGAAAATTTTAGTAATTGCTTGTATTTACAAGTTGTTTTATAGTTTACATGGTTTCCCTCACAACTGTGAAGTAATACAGGTATTCACAGAATTTCAGTGTTGGGAGGGTCCTTGGGAGCCATTTAATCCAACCTGAAAAAATCTTAAAAGTGGGCATCCGGGCTTTCCTTGCAGACTGCCACCCAAGATGGCCCATACCACTTTTGGTCAGCTCTAGTTGCTAGGAAGCTTTCTCTGCCTTCAAGTCTAAAGTGGCTGCCCCTACCGTATTGCTTCTGGTTCTCTCCTCTCTTGAATCAAGCAGATGCAGACTAAGCTCTCTTCCACACGACAGCTTTTCAACATGGCTATTGCTCCCGCCTCCCACACCCTTTTCCAGGCTAAATCTCTCCAATTTCTTCACATGGTCCTCATCTGGCACGAAATGAAGGCCTTTCACCAATGAGGAGGTGTGGTGGAAGGGGCACTGAATCAAGAGTCAGGATGTGGGTCTAAATCTTACCTTTGATCAGACCATTGCACAAATCTCTTATAAAACCATGAGTTTGGACTAAATTACCTGAGGCGCCAGTTCTAGATCTCTGATCTCTGGCTATCCTGGCTTTCCTGATTACCTTCCTCTGGATATCCTCCAACAGAGGGGCCAACCTTGAGGCTCAGATGCAGAACATCCAGAAAGCAACCCAAACCAGGTTAAGATGAAATCGGGAAATGTTTAATAAAATAAATAAAAATATAACATGCCTTAGATAATGTTAATTTGTGGTTTTCTAAGTCAATATGCAGCTAGGTGGTGCAGGAGATAATGCCCTGGGCCTTGGAGTCAAGAAAACTCATCTTTTTAAGTTCAAATCTGACCTCAGATACCTCCTAGCTGTGTTACCCTGGGCAAGTCACTTCACCCTGTTTTCCTCAGTTTGTTCATCTGTCAAATGATCTGGAGAAGGAAATGGCAAACCACTCCAGTATCTTTGCCAAGAAAACCACAAATGGTGTCATGAAGAGTCTGACAAGACTGAACAACAATGAAAAAAGTCAATATGCAGCTACAGGCATCTGTTTTGATTTGAATTTGACACCATTGCTCCAGTTTATCAGGGTCTTGCCTATGACCAGCACTGAACATCACACTCCAGATGTAGTAGGATCTTCTCTCACCTTCTCATTTCTAGAAGCTATGACTCTTTTCATGAAGCCTAAGGTCATGTATGCTTTTCTGGTGGTCCTATCACACTATTGACTCACATTGACCTTGTAGTCTGCTTAAAAAAACAAAACAAAACCTAAACCCACAAGACCCGGGATTTTTTTCCCCCAAACTTCTATCTAGTCATCTTCTCCTCCCTCCTTGTACTTGCAGATTTTTATGAGCCCAAGTACAAGATTTACATTTTTATCCCTGTCATATTTCCCCTTATTAGATTGGGCCTGGCAAGATCTTTTTGGATTCTGACTCTGTAATCTTATCCCTCCCAGCTTCATGTCATCTGCAAATATGATGAGTATACCATGATGAGTGAGCCATGCCTTATTCAATTCAGTAATACCAATGTCGAACAACACAGCTCTCTGGGGATCCACCGGAGGCTTAGTTTTATATTTAGATTAATTGTTAATGACATCTTTTTGGGGCCAATTATTCAGCCGGTTCCAAATCTACTTAACTGTACTATTGCACTATTGTTTCTCTTATGCACTGAGGGACATAGTGGGCAAAGATAGGCCTGGGTGAAGACAGTGAAAAATACATTGGAAAACAGGGCTCAGTAGTCAGAGATGGGAAGCCGAAGGTTTTTAGACTGTACAGGAAGCCTCACGTCTATACATGATGAATATTTTCTTCACAAAGGAAGTCAGGAAGACCTGGACGCTGTGAGCATCAAATAGGAATACAAAAATGAAAGTGATTTTTCTAGACATTGATACAAATGTTAAATGGCACCAGGCTCAGCCCTAGTTGCCAGGTGTCATGCAGAAGACACTCTTGTTCAAGTCTGCCTTGGATTAGGCAACTTCTGTGATGCTGTGAGCTTGTGCCATGTGGAAGGTGGTGTAGACCAGGGAAGTGAGGAAAAGCCTTATGTAGAAGGGAGCATTTCACAGAGTCTCAGAGGTAGATGGAGGCTCAGAGATCCTCAAGTTCCATACATAGAAGGACAGAAATCTCCTCTCCAATGTCTTCAACAACTGGTCATCCAACCCTGGACAGAGTGACGGGGAGCTTACTACCCTGTGGGGTACTGCATTCTACTTTTTTGGCCAGCTCTGTCAGGAAATTGTTTCTGTAGCACCTTCATCCACGGCTCCTAGTTCTACTCTCTGGGGCCATGTGGAACAAGTCTAATCTCTTTCATTTGACAAACTGTTAAATATTTGAAGATGGCTATCATGTAGGAGTGAAGTGTTCTCTCACTGAGGCTAAAATTAATCACTTCCTTCAATCAGTCTTTGTTGGGCATTGTCAAATCCTTTTACCATACTGGCTGTCCTTCTTTGGATACCTTCCAATTCATTATTTCTTATTTTATTATTATTATCCAGTCCTTTCTAAAATGTGCTTTCTAGGACCAAAAACTGTATTTCAGATGTGGTCTGGCTAGGTTAGAGTAGAATACAGCTGTTCTCCTCTCTGATTCTGTATATGACCCTTTACTTGCGTTGAGTCAATGAACACCCAGTTTTTTTTCCCTGATAACAGCTATTTATTTAGTTACCTTGCCTCTATCTTATGCTTCTGAAGTTGATTTTTTTAAATCCAAATGTATGACTTTAATTTTATCCCTGGGAAATGATATCCTATGAGATTTGATCTACACTCTGATCTAGATCTAGACTACTAAGATCTTTTTTGGATCCTGAATCTTATCTGTTGTATTAGCCATCCTTGCCAGCTTTAATGAATGTGTTGGAATTCAACAGGTATGAGGGTGAATGAGGAGATTGTAGGCAAAGGGAGAAGCATGAAAAAGGTAATAAACAAGGTGGGAATTCTCAGAGCATATATATTTATTTTTTGGCTGGGTGGAGAGAGGTTGGTTGAGGGGGCAAGAGTTGTCAAGTTTGACAGGAGTACGTGGAATGGAATGATGCCATGGTTAATGTACATCCACTGGCTAATATCTTTACCCACTATCTAAGTAGTGCTGGAGTTGGTGGTAGTTAGATTTGTAGTTAGTTATATCTTTGCAGTTAGTTATAGCTTTGCTGTTCTTACTGGGAGCTTTTAACACATTAAAAAAAATATTAAAAGCCAATAGTCCCAGGGTAAAGGGTAAACATGACAATAATTTTCCAGTTTTGACAAAGATCATTTTGATGTGCTAATGGTTGACGAAGAGTCATGCCATCAGGCCTTTACCAGAATTGCTAATAAACAGAATTTGTCATTCTTTGGAAATTAGCTAGTTGTGAAAATTAGAGAATAAATAACATAGAAATGATTCACATTATGTGATATATAGATGCACTTTGGTGTACCCAAAGTGCCTAGAGCTCGGCCTTTGTATATGCCTCCAAAAGACTTTTAATCATCTTGAACAATTTGTTTAGAGCCTAGTAGTAATGCTCTGTCCAAGCCTGAGGGGAAGAATAGGTTTAAATTAAACACTGATTGAAAACAGTTTAAGATTAAGGCAAAATAAATTATCTTTACATATTTGTTTTTCTCTAGGTCATTCTAAATCATCTTTATTCTTTTAACTAGGTGGCATAATGGGCAGAGTGCTGGGCCTAGAGTTAGGAAGACTTATGTTTCTGAGTTCAAATCTAGCCTCAGACACCTACTAGCTGTGTGCCCTTGGGTAAGTCACTTAACCCTGTTTGCCTCAGTTTTCTCATCTGTCAAATGAGCTGGAGAAGGAAATGGCAAACCACTCCAGTATCTCTGCCAAGAAAACCCCCAATGGGGTCATGAAGAGTCAGATGTGACTGAGATGGGTGAACAACACTCATTTGGCAGCTAGGTGGCCTATCTACTAGAGTGTCTGACAGAATCAAGAAGATCTGTATTCTGAATTCAATTATACCTCAGACACTACTAGCTGTGTGACCCTAGGCAAGTCACTTAACTTTTGTCTCAGTTTCCTCATCTGTAAAATGGGGATAATAATAGCGCCTACCACACAAGGTTTTTGTGAGGCTCAAATAAGATTTCATATATATATATATGTATATATGTATATATGTATATATATGTGTGTCTCTGTGTGTGTATGTGTGTGTATATATGCATATATACACACATTTGTATATGCATATATATATGTTACATATAAAATATTATTTTATGTATTATATATCTTTGTAAACCTTAAAGCAATATATAAATTATTGCTCTTCTTATTCTTACTGACAATCAGAAGTGGAAGGACTCTTAGAAATAACCCAGAATGGTTGGCTGATCCATCTACGCCGGTGCAGCCGGGTGCTAGCAGAAGAGGACTTGAGTCCAAGTCTCCTGGATCTGACTCCAGTGTTTTTGCTCCTCATTTCAATAGTTTTTATTTTTATTAGGGAAAATAATGTACTCGAATACAAGAACGGGCTAATCTTTGCTTCCCCGTTAATCAGTCTATGGTCAGAAGACCTAACTTTGATCCCTGGTTCTGCATTAGGGTTGGTGTTGGCTAATATGGAAGTTCCCTTGGCATCTGTAATTTTTAATTTCCTGTGAAATGAGGTGGTTGGATTAGATTGGGGGTTCTTAGCTTGGGTTCATGGACTGATTTCAGGAACTTGGATAGGAAAAAATTACTCTTTATTTCACTATAATTGGTTATCTTAGTACTCCTATGTATTTTATTTTGTGCATTCAAAAACATCATTCTGGGGAGGGGCCCATGGACTTCATCAGCTTGTCGCTCCATCACAGAAACAGGCTAAGGAGCTCTGGACTCAGTGATCTCTGAGGTTTCTTTTGGCGTTTTATGAAATTCACTAGGGATAAATGAGGCACTTGGATTAAAAAGATCAACTTCACAAGTATAAGATAGGGAAGGCCTGGATAGACAGACAGCAGTTGCTTTGAAAAAGGTCTGGAGGTTTTAGTGAAATTCAACCCAAGATAAGTCGGCAATGTAATGTAACAGCCCAAAGAGCTAATACAATCTTCAGCTGCATTCATGGGAAGATATAGTCCTACTGTGCTCTGCCCTTGTCAGACCTCATCTGGAGTGCTGTGTTCAGACCTAGACATCAGGCATAAGAAAGACATTGATCAGCTGTCACTGATTACTTTTGAGTGTCCAGAGAAGAGCAACCAAGGGAGTAAAAAGTTGAGTTCATGTCATATTGGGGTCAGCTGAAGGAGCTGACTTAGCAGTTTTAGAAGAGAATTGCCAGGGAGAACATGATGGCTGTGTTCTAGCATTTGGGGGTCTGTCATGTGAAGGAGGGGCTTGAATTATTTGGTTTCTCCCTAAAGGGCTTAACCTAGAGAGCAATAGGGGGGAAGTTGTAAGGAAGCCAAGTTACATTCATGTCAAGAAAAACTTCCTAACAATTAGAGCTGTACAAAGGTGGTAGTGGGCCATTGTGGAGGGGGAGGTGCTCTCGGCCTCGAAGAAGCACAGGAGGAAACACACTTACAGCACAGGCCTCCTCTTGTCAGGCATGTAATAGTGGGCAATTCCTTCTCTGTATCGGTTGAACGAGATGGACACTCAACCTCTTGGATTCTCTGATTCTATGATCCACAACCATACAAAGTTTGTTTGGACTTATCTTTCTGTACCATGCTATCTTTCTAATTCCTCACTATGTCCTTTAAAAAACAACATGCAAGCATGTTTGTAGGTAATTAGGGAAAAGCTGGAAGATGAGTATGTGGGAGGGAGAGAGGGAGAAAGAAAAGAAGACAAAGAAGAGAAAGAGGAAGAAGAAGAGGAGAAGGAGGAGGAGGAGAAGAAGAAAATAAGAAGAAAGAAGGAGAAGAAAGAGGAAGAAGGAAGTTTGAGAGATTAAATTAAAAATAGCTTTTGGGATAAAATCCCTTAGTTCTGTTAAACACTGCAACATAATTTAGATGATCTCATAGACAAATAAATCATGGGTCATCATTAGGTGAGCAGCTAGATAGCCATGTTTCACAAAGTACTGCTAAACTCTTCAGATTGATATCATGGAAAGAAATCATGGCTTTCCCCAAAATGACCTTTGATATCACTGTCAGAGACAATACAGCAGAGTAACTGAGTAAATGATCCAGGAGGGTGCTTTGTATATTCTGTGCACAAGTTCAGCTTTCTACAGCTTCAACATAATTATATATCTATATATCTATATGTCTCTCTCTCTCTATATATCTATATATCTATATCTATCTATCTATCTATCTATCTATCTATCTATCTATCTAGGCAATTGGGGTTAAGTGACTTGCCCAGGGACACACAGCTAGTAAGTGTCAAGTGTTTGGTCTGGGGCCGGATTTGAACTCAGGTCCTCCTGACTTCAGGATCAGTGCTCTATCCACTGCACCACCTAGCTGCCCCGCAACATAATAATCTTAAAACATAGTAACCTAGGTGAGATATGAAACATGCTCTTTGTTTTTCACGTGAGCCTTAAATATCTTATAAATATTAAATGAAAAAATGTGTTACCTGCTCTGTGTAGTCTTCTCCTAGTTCTCCTTTAAAAACAAGAGATTACTGGAATTTAATTCTGTAGCATTGTACTGGAACTCAGTAAAAAAAAAAACCTTTTAGATTATTAGCATAAATTTCAGTTTATTTATTGTAAAGCACAGCAATTATTAAAAATAATTGCATTCCAAATAAATTGAAATGCTGAACAGCCTTAGAGAAAGTTATGTCTAAGACACAATATAACAGATGAAATTTTATCAACAACATATGACAACATTTGATGAATTTCTACCACGTAGATTCCCATGTGTATTGTGGGTGATGTCTGTCATTGATCAGAATATCTGTACATTATGCTTATCTTGAGATTTTTGTTTCCAAGATAATAGTTTAATTTAGAATATAAAAATGTGTCTTTAACAAATTCTGTGGGGTAGGTGTTCTTATAATCTGTATTTTACAAATAAGGAAACTGAGGTTAAGAGAGATTAATCAACTTACTCAAGGACACACAGCTAGTAAGTGTCTGGGACAAGATTTGAACTCAAGTCTGACTCCAAGTCTAGAGCTTTATCCATTGTACCAGCCAGCTGCACTATACTGTGGCTAACATTAATTAATAATTGGTAAACATGAAGGTTACTCCTACTATTGACACATTTCTCAACCTAGTGGCTTTTTGCCTAATGTTAATTTAACTGGGTTTTAAAAAATCTTTATTAGGAACTATTGGGAAATCATGTCTATGGAGCCTGTCAATTGGATCAATTTTGCTTATGTTCACTATTGTTCTCAATACTAATTGTTGGCATTTCTTAAAGACACATTTTTAATATTCTAAACCATTCAATGTCAAGACAAGGAATCTTGTATGACTCTGAAATTTGCATGGGAGACCAATTTATGGCCGCATTTTGCTCTACTAAATGGAATGCTGTTTTATAGTCAACAAAAATTAAGCATGGTGGGATTTTGCGTCCTCTACTTATTTTACTAAACTGTGTAATGGTAAAGATGTGGTTTTCTGTAGAATATCTCTTTGTGAAGCCTTGATTTTTCCCCTTCTAATTCCTTCAATGTGGATGTAGATTATTCCTATACAATTTCTTATGGATGAGAAAGTAGATGTAGGAGTCAGTATTTTCTCCGTCTCTCAGTCTCTCTCTGTCTCTCTTTCTCTCTTATTGGCCAATATGAAGGTCAAGATTTTTCATATCTTTAGTTTCAATCAGTCAATTGGCAACAGGACCATGTCTTCCCCATCCTCAAAAAACAAAAACAAAAACAAACCACTCCCTTGATCCATCCACTCCCACCAGTGATTGTTCTCTATCTCCCTTCCCTTGGTGGTTAAACTCCTTGAGAAAGTTGTCAACAACAGATGCTTCCATTTTCTTTTCATGTTCTTCTTGACTCTCTACAGTCTGGCTTCTGACCTCATCATTTAACTGAAACTGCTTTCTCCAAAGTTACTCATGATCTCTGAATTGATCAATGTAATGGCCTTTTCTTAATCTTCAGCCTTCTTCACCATTCTCTAATGTCAGACACTGTCAATTATCCTCTCCTCCTTGACATCCTTTTCACTGTCTGTGACTTTGCCCTTCCATGGTTCTTTTTCTACCTGTCTGACTGATTTTTCTCTGTCTCCTTTGCTAAATCTTCATCCATGTCATGCCTACTAACTGTGTCCCACATGGTACTGTTCTGGTTCCTCTTCTCCCTCTATAGGATTTCATGTGGCAATTGAATCAGTTCCCATAGTTTCAATGACTATCTCAGATCTGCTTGTCCAGCCTTAACTTCTCTCCTTATCTCCAGTTTCATATCCCCAACTGTCCATTAAACAGCTTGAACTGTATGTCCTTTATGTATCTTAAATTCAAAATATCCAAAACTGAACTCGTTATCTCTCTCCTCCCCCGCTGCCCCGCAACTCTCCCTTCTTCTTAACTTCCCCATTACTGTCAAGGGTACCACTATGTTCCCAGGTATCCAGGCTTTCAATCTAGGTACCTGACATACAGTAGTTGCTTTATAAATGCTAGTTGATTGACTGAACCTGACCACAACTCTGCGTCTCAACTATCTTGTCTACTTATGTTACTGTTCACTCTCTTGTATGTATTACCCCAAAATGGCTGGCACCCCATTTTTCCTATTTATTCATTCAATAACTGTTTATTAAATATATATTCTGTGCAAATTACTGAACCGTTTGCTAGGGGAGATACAATGATTAAGATGACACTATCTCAGCCCTTTAGGAGAGAAGACACACACACAAATAACTATAATATAAAACAGATTATGTGCATGGCTATAAAGTGGCATGGTAGATAGAGTGCTGGGCCTGGACTTAGGAAGACCTGAGTCCAAATCTGGCCTCAGACACTTACTTACTCCCTATGTAACTCTGGGTGAGTCACTTAACCTTTGCTTGCCTGTTTCTTCATCTATAAAATGGGGCTAACAACAGTACCTACCTCCCAGAGTTACAAGTATCAAATCAGATAATAATTGTAAAGTGCTTAGCACAGTGCCTATCATATAGTAAGTGCTATATAAATTTAACTATTGTTGTTACTGTTGTTATCTCCATTGAGGTCCCATCACTAATTTTCAGGTGGAGTCTGCACAGCCCAAGGTCTGGAAGCTCCCACAGAGGCAGCTGGGTTTTGAGTTATGGGCCTGGCAAAGACCAATTTAGGGGAGTTCAGAGAAGCTTGTCACCACATTATTGGTCACTAGATGATGAATTCAAAAAAAAATTTTTTTTTTGACCATAGCAAATTAAACAATGGAAAAATTGTGACCTGAATTAAGGACTTAGCACAGTGATGAAATCAGGCCTCTTTTGAAATACCAGAATATGATAAAGGTATCTGCTTTGAAGGCTTACGAGATGACTCTCATTTTTGTCTTTAGTCTCTACTTCTTTCCTTAGCTCTAGACTCATGTTAATTCCTGCCAGCTGGATATCTCTGCCTGAATGTCCTACTTGTATCACAAATTCAAAGTATCTAAAACTGAATGATGAACTTTCACTCAAAACCTGATTCTCTTCCCTACTTACCTTTTTATGTCAGTGGCTTAACCATTTACCCAAAGTTGAATTCTTTGATCTCATCATCTCCTTCCTTCTACTCTTCCCTACCCCGCCCCATCTAATCAGTTGTGAAGATCTACTGATATCAGTGGAGACAATTCAGACTTAGTTTACTTTTGCTCCTTTAATTGGAAAGCTCCTTCCCGATGTCTATTCTCCTTTAAGTTATATATTTTGGCTATGACGATGATTATCCTTACCTTCTGAATTCCAGGCTAAAGTCTTTTCCATCAAAGATGCAGTGTTGTCGTCCTCAAATTTACTCTCTCTGTCAGGAGCTGGTTTGCTGTATTTAGGTCTTGTGGCAGGAGAAAAACAGAGACATGATGGTGAGAAAACATTTCATAACCTTTCTCAGGTAATGAACAATACTAAAATACTTTTCAAACCATTGCAGTTCTTTTTATGTGATGTCTTCTGTTCTTCATGAAACACCTTCCCATTACAATTATTCATAACTGAATTATTTTCAATCAAAGCATGGTATGAAATCCTTGTCTTTCACCTTGTTAAGATTTTTATTTAATTGAGCATTCTGAATACCAACTAGGTTTAATTTATACAAATGGAATATTTCGTATGGAATTGGTGGAGAAGCAAGAAAACAATGTGGGTGCCGGGTTTTCCACAGTTAGGACGGACAATACAAATGTATATTTTTAGCCTTAGTCTTTCAGTAAAATACTCCCAGCCCATAGCTCAGGTGGTTGCATTTTAAGCATTCTTTTCCATTTTGTTCGTCTGAAATCTCTTCTTACCTTTTAATCAATGGCTATGCGTAATTATTTGAAACAAACTATCATCATGAAACAGTGTACATGGAAATATTTATATTTAATTTTTGTCAGTTTGAATAACACTCTTTTCAGGTTAGACGTTTACTATTACTTCCCTATGACTTTCCTAATTTTTTTCTCCTGTGATAAGAGATTACATCATTCCTTCCTTTAATAAATGTTTAGTAAGTGTTCAGTATATGGAGACTATTGTGCTAGGAACTGATGGAAAATATAACGAAAAAAATCCCATAGCCCTTGCCCTCATACAGCATACAATCTAAATCTAGGAAGGGAGATAAGTAATATACACAAATGATTCTAATGTAAGACAGAAAACAATATGTAAGAAAGGTACGAAGATACTGCTAGGAAAGTCCCAAGGAAAAAGGCCTTCCGGCTAAGGGCAATCAGGGAAGACTACATGGAATGGGTGGCAATAGGGCCATTTGGGTCTTGAAGGATGGGTAGGAACATTGAAGTAGGTTGAAATGAGATGGGAAAGCATCATAAGCAGAGGGAACAGAGGCTTTTCTGCTTGTTGACTAACTGATGTAGTTGTGAAATCATAGCCGTAGGATGGCAAATAGCACAAATAAGGCTGGAAAGGCAAGTCGGAGCCAGATTTTGCCTCAAAAAAAATGCTTTGAATATCAAGCTAAGGCTTAATCTGGGGTCTGTGAATTTGATTTTTAAATATTTTGATAACTAAATATCAATATAATTGGTTTCCTTTGTAATTATATTTATTTTGTTTTATGCATTTGAAAACATCATGTTGAGAAGAAGTCCATAGGTTTCACCAAACTACCAAGGAAGTTCATGACAAAGGAAAGATAAGCATCCTCGGTTAGGGGGTCTGAACATGCAGGCCACCAAAGGTTTTGGTGATTAGATCTGGGCCTTGGAAAGATGAATCTGGCAGCAAGATGAATTACAGGGAACCATAAAGTCAAGTGGATATTGCAAAAGTCCATCCAAGTGTTAATGTAGTAGAGACTGATATCGTGGATGGTATTGGGAATGGGAAAGCCAGGATGAGTATGAGAAACAGTGCTGATTTAAACTGTTCTAATATACAGCTTTTGCAGTCCCTTTGAATTTTGCATAATTAAATCAGAACAATGATTTAAATATTATACCATCTAAATGGTTGAGCTTTCATGGTATCTTTGCATACTGAGCTACATTTATTGAATATTTAGTTTAACTTAATATACTGAACTCTAGCAGAAAAAAAGGTCTTTGCAAATAGAAAAAGGTACATTTATAGGTTGTGATCTAGTGATTTGAAATCAGTGGATAATGATTTTGGCTTATTTTTTGATCCTATGACAAGGAAGCTTTGCAAATGTAACATAAGATTCCAAACAAAAACTCTTATCTCTGAGAACGTCAAAAAGCTAGAGGGGCATCTGGATTTTCTTGCATACTTTTCTTTCTCATCCCAGCAGAGTGAAAGTTATTCAGGCAGCTGAGAATCCATAAAGCAACATTTTTCCTCATCTGCTTTCCTTGAGCCATATTAAAGCCACAATAAATGCAAGTACTCCTTTGCTTTAAGCTTTATTGGCTCAGAAAAAGAAACCAAGAAACTTCATTGGAGACCAGATTAGGCCGAAGAGAGAGATTCTTTTTGCCCTTTAGCCCCATTATCAGTCTGGTAGTATCTTGATCAGCTTTCTCACATGTGGCTACGGATTCATCGGAGGACGGTAAACTGCTTTTTTGGCAGCCAAATTGCCGAAACTCTTCCATTTTCATGTTCTAAAAGAGCTTATGTTGTCCATCCTCTTTGAGTATGTCTTTAAAATCGGCCAATGCTGGGAGGATTTTAGACATGTACCAAGGTTTATAAAAAGATGTGGCTGTTTAGCTTATAGTTTGATAGTCAGCAAACACAAAAAGCCCAGTGGGGATAAAAGGAACTTAACCAGTTCTCTCTAATACATATAAATCGACTTAAGAGCTCAGTGAACTGGAAGTACTCACTGTACTACTCCGTTTATTTCAGTTGAAGATGCAGAAAAGGGCCTTCTGCACATATGCCACCTACTCTCATCTGATGCCAAGTCACCACAAATTAAAAGAAGGAGATGTGTAAACAAGGTCAGCCTCGGCTGGGCCAACTTGGAATGGGAGAATCGTCAGCTTTTTCTGTCAGCAGTGACAGTTTGTTTTGAGTCAACATTAATGAACTATAGGTTATAAAATATTTTTAATAGATCAATTGCCAGGCACTTTGTTTACATATTTCCCTGTTTTGCAAGGGCTGAAAATTTCCACCTGTGAGGTTTGTGAGTACATGCGGAGTCTAATTAGTGTTTCTTTTTTTGCTGCTGGTGATGGTGGAATGCAATTTTAGAAGCATCTTTTTCAGTTGGAAGGCAAATATTTAGATAGGAATCAAAATTATTTTAAACCAATGTAAATAAACAGGATAATACTTCATTTGACTCTGAATTCAGATTTACTAAGCATTAAGATACAAATCTATAGGACATTTATTCTAGGGTACATGGTTACAAATATGGTGGTGTGATGATCTGGGAAGATCAAAGGCCTGGGAGTTAGCAGATATGGGCTCTTGTCTTGGCTCTACCACACACTGGCTCGGGCAGGCCGGGAACATCTTTGAGTCTTTTTCCTTGTCTACAGAGAGCTTTGGATTTGATGGTTTCTAAGGCCTCCTTCTGAGATATCATGAGTACTAGTACAACACAGAAATACTCATAGAACTCTAATCTCAGGGATCATTTGGTCCAACTTTCTCATTCTAGAGGTGAAAGAAAGAATGTTTGTCAAGTTATTTTTGTGTAGTAGTAAGACAGCATGTATGACAGAAGAAAGATGAGCTTATCCTATATCAAGGACAGATGGACAGCCCGAGTGTTCTTACTGCTATCCTCACAATGTCAGGTGGACATGAGCGAGGCCGCCAGCATGTCGGGTGGATTCCTTGTGGCTAACTTATGGGGAGATAGATATGAGTCACATAGGCCAGACGGGAAGGATGGACTGCAACCTGTATCACTGAAGGGCATAACCAAATTAATGAGAGTACTGATCCACTGGGGCATTTGAGGGTACCCTGAAATCAGTGAGACTATAGACCCATTTGAGCATAGTATCACTTTTTCATACTCTCCCTTTCTTACCCCATGATTTTTCCCCTTCTACTACTGCTTCTTTGTAAAAGTTTTTCTCTGATCTGTTTGTTTTATTTACAAGAGAAAATGAAATTGGAAAAATGTGTTTTTTAATTTGCCTTTACCTTTTAATCAACAGAGTAAGTTTAAATATGGTTATGAGTCAACATTTGCTTCAGGTCTAAATTTCCTGAAGGTTTTTTTTTTTTAATTAGTCACATAGTTAAAAATATAGTCTTTGCTTCAGCCTGGAATTTGCATATTTTTTGTACCTATAGTACAATTTCAATATCCTTACAGACTTGTCCTACCTGATGCTGAGGTGGTTATACAAAATTATTACTTCTTTAGTGAAACAACATTATAAATGAGAGCTCTATTTCTGGGCAGCCAAAATTTGGACTTTAGAAACTTAAAAATAGTCTTTGTAGAGAACTGAAAATACAGTGGGGAATAGCAAGTGGCATGGTGTACATGGTTAGGCTAGGTTGGGCTGATCTGACAGACCTGAGGTTTGCAGATCTGACAAATTCCTGAGATTTGTGGCTAGCAGGCAGCTTCACGCAGTGAAGGAGAGCCTGTAGCTTGGCAGGAATGGAAAGGCCTACGTCCTAAGGAGCAAAATGAAATTGACCAGCAGGGGGCACCTGGCTTTTGGAGGAGAAAAGTGAATTGACCCTTCCTGGGGCGCTGGAAAGATGTTTGGAGAGATTGAATAGGGGAAGAAAAGTATCCAGTGACATCCTGAAAGGAGAATGAGAAGAAGGGGCAATTCTTTCCTTTTCAGGAATCCCATAACCTCTTGTTTCAGGTCTAACTAGAAATGAATTCAGACATTGTCTGTCTCCCTAGCTATCTATTTTTCACACCTTGGAGTAGAGGTGGGGGCTGAGTTGGGAGGGATTGTAGTTGCAATCCTCAGAGAGACAGAACATTGGAAAAGTGTTAAGTTCTAGTACAAATCATTGATTAAAGCTGGAGCCTTGGGGTTCAGGAACCAAACATGTCCTTCCAAACCACTTAATTGGATATTGGGCAGTTACTATGAACTCACAAGAGTTCACCTGGGAATGAGGGAAAAAAGAAGCAAGGAATTACATTTAGAACTGAACTGGAAGACCAAAGACTATAGATCTGGGATTCTTGACATTTCTGGTGTTATAGGCCCCTTTGGTATTTGCTTCTATTACTCTGGATCAGTAAAGTTTTACTGTACGACTACCCAGACATAGGTAGGTCAAGTCAGTAAGCACTTCTCGCTGCTGTTCAGTTGTTTCAGTCCTGTCTGACTCTTCATGACCCCATTTGGGGTTTTCTTGGCAGAGATACTGGCGTGGTTAGCCACTTCCTTCTCCAGCTCATTTTACAGATGA